TGGCCGCCACCTTCCTGGTGTGCACGGGGGTGCTGGGGACGCTGCTGTGGCGGCGGGCGCGGACGGGGCAGCGCCGGTTCAGCCGCACCGAGATGGTTTGCATCTCCTCGCTGCTGCCCGACGCCGAGGCTGCCGCCGGCCCCCGGCCTGTGCCGGCCCGGAGGCACAAGCTGCTGCTGCCCGACGGCGGCTCCGAGCCCGATGGAGACAACCTGACTCTCAGCAGCTTCCTGCCGGAGCACTCCTGAGCCCCGGGGATGGTTCCTGCATCCCGCAGCGCGGCCGCGGTCCCGGTCCCCGCTGCAGCCGCGGGCAGGGTGCCCCTGTCCCCCCGGTGTTTGAGCTCGGACCGGTGTGACGGAGCTGCTCCCCCGCGGCCAGCTCAGCCCTGGAGCCCCATCCCATTAAAGAGTTACATGGACATGGTGGTCTCTTCCTGCCAGGGACGGCACCCGCCATCCCCCTCCCGACCCCGCCGCCTGCCCACATCCTGCTGCCAAAATTTCGCTTCTCCATCCTCCCCCTCAAGCCCCTGGGGGAGCAGAAACGAAACCCGCGGCCACTCCTTGCGGGGCCGGGACCAGACCCCGGCAGCTCGGGGCCGGGACCGCAGCCCCGGGAGCTCCTGCCCGGGGCTGGTGGGAGCTGGAAGGGCGGGGGGGACGCGGCGGAAACGCCGGGGGACGGGGACAGGACGGGTGCGCCCGTGGCACAACGTGTTCCTGCCTGCGGTCGCTGCAGCGAGGCGGGGACGCCTCCGGAGCCGCCGCTGCCTGTCAGGCGCTCGGCCCCGAGGGCGAACGGCGGCCGCAGGGTCTGGGATGGGGACTGGGAGGGATGGGGAGAGCAAATCCATGAGAGACCAGCGAAGGTCCCACCGTTTCACCCACTCAGGAAGGTGTCAGTCACCCCTCAGGGCCACTAACTGATCCCTTCCTTGGGGGAGTGGAAATAACCCAGCACTGGCCCTGTCCTGCCAGGCTCAATGTCCCCATTTTTCCATTTTGCTCCACCCAGGCTCCCCATCCCCACATCCCCATCCCTGCTGTGACCAGGATCACCATTCCCATTCCCACATCCCCA